TTTGTGATGCAGTGTTCTGATTTTATGTGTTCATTAATATTGGTGGTGTTTCTTTCACCATGATTTCAGAGGATCATGTGAATGACCAGAATGAGAACTGTTCAGGTTATTCAGACATACACAGTGAGGTAGAATGCTGTCCATAAAACAAAACATACACAACTCCAAATTGGTCAGTGGGAAATGACTAGAAATAAAGGCTTTCAAAAGTTGGCATTTTTAGCTATATTTGCAAATACTATGAGATTTAAGCAGATTAGAAAACAGCAAAGTTGACTAAATTTTGTATTCTTGTCCTCAAAATTTTTTTGATTTTTTGTGGCTTGATGCAGTGATGTTTTCCTTCCTTCTATATTTGTAAATGAAACACTTTTTTTTTTTTTTTTTTTTTAGTGTTTCTAAACATAAACTCTACTTGGTTTGAAATCAAGTGGTTGGATCACTTTTGTTTTTTATTTTAAATGCATTCTTTTTAAAAAAAGATATTTTTTTTTATTTTTTACAGAGAGGGGGAGAGGGATAGAGAGTTAGGAATATCGGTGAGAAAGAATCATCGATCAGCTGCCTCCTGCACACCCCCTACTGGAGATGTGCCCACAACCAAGGTACATGCCCTTGACTGGAATCGAACCTGGGACCCTTCAGTTAGAAGGCTGACGCTCTATCCACTGAGCCAGACTGGTTAGGGCTTAAGTGCATTCTTGATTCAAAGTTTCATTGAAGAAGCTTTCAATCAATGGACCAGTTTGATTTTGTAATTAGTACACAGTATCTACTGTTTTGGTGTTGTTTTGAGGACCAAGTCTCAAAGTGGATTTTCTTGAACAGTATCCCAGTAGATTTGATGACATATGTGTTGGTTTGAGGTCTAATTTTTTTCTAATACATTTAAGATTTCTATCTAATGTTGAAAAACTACACAAATTTGTATGAAACAAATCTAGAAAAATAAAAACTGTAGATTAAATAGTAATTTAAATTAATCCTATTATATTATGATAGAGGAGGATAAACTTTTGGTGCCATAATTTCTCTCTTCATGATGGTGTTGGACTTAAATAATGTGAAATGTATTTTTGTACCACAATTTAAGCTTCAATAAAAGTTTGTTTGATTTTTTTAAAAAAAAAAAAGAAAGAAAAATTGCTGAGGAGCCTGCCTAGAGTTTGGTGGAGAGAATTTGAGAAATAGAGAAAGCATATTTTATTCAGTACTATTGCCAACAGAGGAGAGAAGCTTCAGTAAAATCAAACTCAACTCCCAAAACAACAAAGACAGATGGGGATTTATAGCAAAAGAACAAATTAAGAGGGTCAGTGGATGGAAACTACCAAAAGTATCAAGTTTGGGGGGATTTTTGCTAAATAAAGGCAGGCTAAGGACTTAGACATCAAGAGTAGGGGACTGGGAATTGGATTAGATATTAAGAATGGGGATTCTACCTAGGCTCATTTAGCAGGATTCTTGCTAAAACTGAGCTCCACAGGCCAAGGACAGGGCACAAGAACCAGGGCTAGTAGAAAAGAGGGCTCAGAGGAACCTGTCTAAAGTTTGGTCAAGGGTAGCGTCTTTGTCACAGCAATAGATACAGGCAGAGGTTATTTTTAGAAAACCAAGTATTACACTCTATCATACTGATCTGCCCCCAAAGTCATGTACTTCTCCAAGTTCCAGCAGCAGAATTAGCTGAAACTAACTCTGGCCACATATTTAATTGAAGATTTTGTCTGCATTGTGCACAGTGATAATTTTGAAGCCCTTAGAGCAGGCTAGGGGAGGGGGCACAGTAACCACCATTCATGGAGTGCCCACTATTACTCCAGACGTTACTACCTCTTCTCATTCTTCTGACAACTGCAAGAGACTCTTCTGGGCTCCCCTTACTGCAGAGGGGAAAGTGAGGCTTAGCCAAGCTGTCTCCTTCTCCCCTCCCAGGCATTAGAAACCCTCAGGCTCTCACGAAGGGCTCCTTTAGGGTAGTCGGGATACGGTCTCGGTACAGACCTCTCCAGGCCATGCGAGCCGCAATCCCATCGTGGGAACCAACGCGGTCCGTCAGTCCCTCCATCGGCTGGAACCGCCCCTACCCTTCCGCCCCACCCTCGGGCCTGCGCTTGGCGCACTCCGATGCCGTCCATTGCCCAGCTGCCTTGTGGGAAATGTAGTTCGGCGTCCCGGGGAGGCGGCGGGCGGGACGGCGTTCGGCAGAGGCAGCTCCCACTCAAGCTGGGTGAGGGTGAGGGTGAGTGCGGGGCAGCGGCTGCACGCGCCGAGTCTGGCCGGGTGGCGGGCGCTGGGCGGAGGCCCGGATGGGACGAGCCCTGGACGTCGCGCCAAGTGAGGTCGGCGCGGATGGGCTGGGGCCGCTTCTTGCGGGTCCTTGCGCAGCGCCGGGCCGCTGGTTCCAGGTGTGCCCCATCTCGCCCCGGGAGCCGAGCCGAGCCGGGCTGGGGGTGGGGGGCACCCAGCCGAGGGTCACCGGACGCAGTCCTTCCCCACCTGTCTCAGGAGCGGCGAGTGCGGGCGTGGCGCGGCGGCCGCGGTCCGAGGGCCAATCCGGGTCCCTGCCTGCGTTCCTCCCGCCTCGGCGTTCCCCGGGACCCGCTCGGCAGTTGGGGGGATGCTGCCCTCTTGCGGGGGCTCCAGGCTCCAGCATCGGCCCTTTGTGTAAACCGCACCTCAGTGCGCGCCCACTGATTTCCGATTCGAGGAGCGCGGCGTGGTCTCTCTTGGATCCGCTTCTTCCTAAGAACGGGCGGCCAACCCTGTGCAGGTTCTTTACCTCAGAGAATCCTTTTCTCTTTCATTTTTATTTAAGCATTTTTTTTATCTTACAAAGAAAAACAAATATTCACAACCAGAAAACTCAGAGGAGCAAAAGGGAAAAATTATTTGCAAACTGTCAAAATTTGCATGTCGACGTATATATGTGTTTGAACATAGAAACTCTGTTCTTAAAGCTATGGCTATTAATATCCTTTTCTCCATGAGTCGTGAAATACATTTGGTGTGGGATTTAAAATGTACAAATCTTAAGCTCCATGGCTTTTATATTTTTGTTCATGTAAGTACCATTCAATCAACATGGAGAATAAATTTTAAAAGAAGTGAATACTAAAAACATTACTTATACCAATTTTTAAAAATAGCTAAGCTGTCATTTTTATTATTTTTTTTACAGGGAGGAAGGGAGAGGGATTAGAGAGTTAGAAACATCAGTGAGAGAGAAACATCAATCAGCTGCCTTCTGCACACTCCCCACTGGGGATGTGCCCACAACCAAGGTACATGCCCTTGACCGGAATCAAACCCGGGACCCTTGAGTCCGCAGGCTGACGCTCTATCCACTGAGCCAAACCGGTTAGGGCAGCTAAGCTGTCATTTTAATGAGTGTGAGGAAAAGTATGTCTGTGCCATACTTAATCCTTCCTTTAGGCCTTTCTGTTATTAGGTTTTGTTTTGTTTCAGTATTATAAACGACACGGGCCACCTGGCTACATATTTGCATTCTTGTCTCATTCTATAAATCCCTTAAAGTGAAATTTCTGGGCCTTTATAATATATATGTATTTATATATATTTTAATTGATTTTAGAGAGGAAGGGAGAGGAGAGAGAGATGGAAACATCAGTGATGAGAGAGAATCATTGATCAGCTGCCTCTTGCATGCCCCCTACTGGGGTTGAAGCCCCCAGCCCAGTCATGTGCCTTGACTCGGAATTGAACTGTAACCCCTCCTGGTTCATGGGTCTATGTTCCGCCACTGAGGCATGGTGCCTGGGGTTTTTGTTAACTCCTGTCTTATTTTCTCCAGAAAAGTAGCAGTTTAAAAAATTTGCAATGTACGGCCCCCGTGAGGTAGGGACGACCTTGGTCAGGTCGAAACGGCCCCGGTGTGGTAGGGACGACCCCGGTGAGGTTGAAACGGCCCCCGTGAGGTAGGGACGACCCTGGTCAGGTCGAAACGGCCCCGGTGTGGTAGGGACGACCCCGGTGAGGTTGAAACAGCCCCCGTGAGGTAGGGACGACCCCGGTCAGGTTGAAACGGCCCCGGTGTGGTAGGGACGACCCCGGTGAGGTTGAAACAGCCCCCGTGAGGTAGGGACGACCCCGGTCAGGTCGAAACGGCCCCGGTGTGGTAGGGACGACCCCGGTGAGGTTGAAACGGCCCCCGTGAGGTAGGGACGACCCTGGTCAGG